CTTACGCCCCCTGTCGCCAGTGAAGACAGGACACGAGTATCCCCTGTTCAATGTTTATAACATAATGAGTTTAGCAGTTTTTTTACTCAAGCTAAATAGCTTCAGAATGGTGCTTATTCGCTGTAGCTTCAGAATGATGCTAAAAGCTAACATGTCATGGTAGCCTATTGAAACCTAATTCTATCAATGTTTGACTTAATTTAACTTGACTTATGTTTGACTTAACTTAACTTAATGTTAATACTTGGAAATCTCAAGCATCATCAATCATTTCTACCCCTGCAAACTCCTCGGGGTATAGGGACAATATTATGGAGGACTGCTGACCCATTTAATAGTCCATGATCGGCTGCTCTTTTCAAATTTTCACTACTCTGTAAAAGCTTTTTACAGTATGAATACATACATATTTATTCCACAATGTGACTTAATTCACAACACTTCATTTACACCTTCTTCCTCTGTGCTCCCCTTATGTAACACCGGCCCTTAAAAATAGCCCGCACATAAGTATTGAACACTTGCTTTAAAGCCAAATGGACAAGGCTGAACATGACATCTGGACTCAAGGTCAAGTCTTTCCAATATGTGATTAAGAGGATTGAAGGGAAATTACATCAGGATTTTTCTTTAGAGCATCAGAAAACAAAAGAACCAATACTTGACTTTGATAATGTCCTTACAGATGTAATACCATAATATATCTTGAATTGATGAACTAAATCCACTTATGTTAGAGAGATGTAATTTGTCATTCAAAGGGAGTTATTCAGCAGGGAACTAATGTTGTCATGTCATATCATTTGTCCAAATGGAAGGATAGGCTCAATATTCAATTACAATACCGTAGGTATAAAAAGAAAACAAGGATTAACTTGGAAAACTGTTCAGGAGAAGTCCAATGCTACTTTGTTAATAGATTATTTTATTTTTTTAAACTGTAGCTCAAATAATAACTGAGACACACACAACTTAGGCAAAATGTGGATGCCAAGTTTTGTGTCGTTCTTATTAAGTAAAGCAACACAAGAGACCTCGCAGTTTTAATATCCATGACTGATAAGATGGCACATATAGTTTTGTCTCTGACCACTAAAATGTAGAACCCCTATTAAATGGAATTGTGAACAAAACCATCCGTCTAATTAACATTCCTCAACAATCTATTATTACTTCATGATATGTGAATGATATATCTCACATTTAAGGCAAAGAGGATTCAAAATCAGTCTGGGAAACACTATAAGCAACCCCATCCTCTTCCATCAAAAATCAATGGATATAAAAAGGCAGCTGAGAAGTGCAATTCATTACAGCCATAATAAAACCACCAGGGCCTGTTACTGTCAGTGCTGTTGTCTGGACTGTTTCAACCTAAACAGTTTTTTTTATTACAAGTCCGTCAGCATACAAAGTAAGTAAGTAGGTAAGTGGGGAGGAAAGTAAATAAGTAAGTAAATAAGTGAGTGGAGAAGTAAGTGAGTGGGGGAGTAAGTAAATGGGGTAATATGTAAATAAGTAAGTAATTTATCTTTATTTATACAGTGCATTTCACTGACCAAGATCACACAAAGTTTGGTGTACTGTCAATTCCATTTATCTCTATACGTGGAAATGACAGAAGCCAGATGCCGAACATGCTGGCCTCTGAGTGACTATCATCTTTCGCTCACACTAACACTCATACCTATTGCCCACATTTATAGCGGTAGGGTAAACCAGAGCACCCAGAGGAAACCTTCACAGACACGGAGAGAACATGCAAACTCCAGACTAACAAGGCCTGGAGGTGGAATCAAACCCAGGAACTTCTTGCTGTGAAATTAGCCCTAAATTAGTTACTGGATACGTTTAGGTTTTGTTCAATTCATTTTTGGTGGACACGCTGGATTATTTCAGACACGTTTTATTAAGATGAATTAAGGAGGTGAAAATACTCGTCAGCGCAGGGGTCATAAAAGCAGTGGTGTCATATTACAGCAGTGTGGAGTGATGAATTTGAGAGTTTAGCACAGTCTGCAGTGAGAGGAGGCTGTGGCATAGACAGGATCCTGACAGAAATTACCAAAGGGCCAAATCTGGCTCGCGGGCCGGGGGTTTTCCCACCAGTGCCATGGACTGTATATTAGGATATGGACAGTCAATGGTCAAGGGTATTTGTATGGCACAATTCAAACACAAGGAAACTCAAATTACTTTTGAAAAGAAAAGAGGAAACATTGAATAAAATTTAAAACAAACATCTTAAGATAAATCCTCTTCAAAGTGCGAGTTCATTGAGATAGTTTTTAACAATCCAAAAATCACATTTTGATACACTTGATTGTCATCTGCATGTTGAGTATATTGGTACAGAATTTTTCTAATATGGGATGTTTTCATGTATTTTTCTTTTTGTTTGGAAACCCTTTGTGGAGGATTGCGCTATATAAATAAACTTTTTAAATAAATTTTTATAAAGCTTGACTGGTTGATTTAAACTCATTGTTTTGTAACAAAAAATAATAATTAATAGAAACATTTACATTTTGTGTTGTGTGTTTGTGTTTGTGCCTTTGACCCTTCTATACCTATTCACAGCTTTCAAGTTTTACGTTGGTTGTGTCATATTACCCCTTATCCCATTGTGCTTTTGGAGTCTGCTCAAAATAGCGCACGAGCTCAAAATAACAGAGCGGTTTATTTTCAGAAATGCCTTGGTTTTTTTATTGTGACGGTGGACCATATGAGCATGTGAGCATGTACACATGTACACATGGCGGACGAGTGTGTTCAGGTTTATTACCACTTGTATCAGACTACTTAAAGACACACATCTCCTTTAATCTTCTTAGGCCTCATGCAGACAGGAAGAACTTCCCAAAATAGAGATTAGGCAAAAAGCTACACTTCCCGTTGTCCGATTCGTCCATCCCTTCCCCAATGCTGACCTTTATGAATCAAATGAACAATTACGATTATAACGGAAAATACATTGACCTTTTATCAGGATTTACAAAAAAGCTGCAACAAAAATTATTACCAGTACATTGTTTGGTGTTAACAATGCACACAAATAAAATATGGTCTAAAAAGGAGAATTACATAAAACAGGAATATGAAAATTGTGAATACAGAGCGAGGCTCCACCTCAGCTGGCTCCTATCGATGTGGAGGAGCAGCAACTCTACACTGAGCTCATTCTGTGTGACTGAGTTTCATCAAATTCATTTATTTAAAGTAAAACCTACCTGGCTCTGTCAAGGGAATTATTTTCTTAGAATGATGAGAAATCGTAGAAGAAAACATAAAGAAATAATTAATTTAAAATGTTTAGTATGTTTAATTTATTGAATCCAATTCCGGTTTTCTGCAACATTGTGAGAACTTTTTGTGAATGCTGTCGTTGTGTCCTTGGGCACGACACTTAACCCCACTTTGCCCGAAGCCCACACTGAAAGATCTCAGCTCCTGTGGACTCAGCACCTGCAGGAGGATCAGTGAGGGGCTGGTGCTCTGTGTACTGGGTGCAGCTCTGACTGCCACCCCCCCGACCCAGAAATGGATTAAGGGGAAGAAAATGGATGGATGGATGGATGGGGGCAGGGGTTGAATGGACAGAGCTCTCAGCAAGAAGGTACTGGGTTCGTCTCAGAATGGTGACGTCTGCAAACGTCACCATTCTTAATCTACTGGAGTCTGTATGCAAACAAACAATAAAAATACTGGACAGACAACACATTAGCACCACTCCCTGCACAGAATTAAGGCCAACACACACACTCCTCTTTTGACAATATGTAACAGCAGAACTATATCCTCACCAACACGAGAGAAGCAACATCTTTCGACATTTTTGGAAATATACTGGCTGATATTTCCAAAAATATATATGATGACCAACACTGATCGAATGTTCCCCATGGTTTTCTGTGCATGTGAATAGTTGTGTATGTTTTTAAGGTGATGATGTAATAGTGTAACTTTTAGCTAAATTTGATAATAATAATTAACTTCAAATCATTCACATCATACACAGTGGTGATAAACTACTGTAGCCACAGCTGCCCTGGGGCACACTGACAGAAGTGAGTCAACCATATGTGCCCCTCCGATCACCACCAACCATTCACACCAGATTCATTGTCGGAAATATGGCTGAAGCGTTTTGACACAACTACAGTTTGGTATCTTACAGCCGCCGCACTGTAGTACCTGATGTTCCAAGAGGTCTCCCATCACAGCCCTGTCCTGCTTAGCTTCAGAGGTCTGACAGGATCTGGCTTTCAAAGCTTGTTCTCCAATCAGGCTGACAAGTCTTTTTTCATCTGCCATGTTGCAAAGTCTGAATGTTATAGTGGCAATTATTGGTGGAAGTCGAAGAGGCCCATCTCAGCCCCAGGGCAGTTGTGGCTATACCATACCATAATGTTCATTATGAGTGATTGATGTTCAGCTCATATACACATTTTTATAGTCCTTATGTATATGTATTACAATTACCAGCTAAAATTACAGGTCAGATCCGTTTAGATTATTCTAAGACATACTGGTGTTTTGTAATTATACTGTATAAATGAAAGCGGTGTATTGACGCTGCCTTTACATTTCTCCTGTGTCATGTTATCGTTCATGACGTTCATCAGACATTAAGTATTCTTTTTAAGTGAATATATGGTGGTTGAATATGAGGGGAATGTGCTTTGGAAGTTGAAGCTTTTAGACAAATAACATGACATGATTTTTAGTTGTTTCAGTGACAAGGCACTGGGGAAAAAAGGTGCCAGCATAACACGCCAATTTAACCAATACATTTGTTTCAAAATATCCGCATTTATATCAAATCTAATGAAAAAAGTAATCCTTTGAGACACACTGGCTTAATTGCTTGAGCAGAAAAATCTAAAACAGGGGCAGGTGGTCACCCAAGCTGACATCGACCCAAACATGGAGACTAACATTTGGCACATGGACACATACTGTATTCCTGACTACAATGGAAGAGGTAACAGTGTTCTTACCTCAAGGTACACTATCTCCTGTTCTTCCCTGTCTTGGTCATTGTAGTTGACGGAGTATCCCACGCCGCGCTGACAGGCCCGGGCCAGCCCCCTCACTCTCTGCCACATCAGGGTCTTGGAGTGGCGGACGCGGCGCACTCTAACCGTGGGCCTGACTTCCCACTGTCTCTCTGCTCTAATACATGGCATGCTCTGACTGCAAAGACCAATGCCCCTGCCACCTACACTACTGAAGATCATCAAGAAAATGAAAGATTCTCCAAGGAATCTAGCAGCTGAGGTCTGACCTGGAGCATAGCCGTAGAAAACACAAACATAATTATTCAGTGAGAAGTGTTTTTACAAGGCAGAAGGACAGTGGTGGATTAGGACAATGTACTGCTGATTCTTCCCTGCTTTGCTGCACCGGCTTAGGCCAGATTAACTGTGAGTCTTATGTCTCTGTGTGGGAGAGAGATACAGACCGGGAGGCCAAGACGAGAACACAGATTTACCACTAGTGGGCCAAATGTTCCTTAATGAGTTTCTGAGGAGAACTATTGTACTATTAACTATAGATTATCTGGAACATCAGGACTAGTTTTACCAGTATTTCGACATGACATTTTACATTTTTTATTTAGGCAACTTATTAATGTTTTTTTTTTATGAGGCAAAAAACACAGCACATTTTATTTTCCTATATTATTATATTTGTGTCAAACAAATTAAAATATCAAACATCTAATGTGTCACTCAAGGCTGTCAAGCTGTCATATTGATATCACCATATCATACATAGACATTATCACCATGATGCCGTCTATGGATGATGTTACAGTCTCACCTGTGACGGATGGACAGGCGTTTCTTGAAATACAGATGTGTCATACTAGACCAGATACATAGGTTTAGGTTCAGTTATGCTTATTAACATATTGAATAGGCAGGATGCTGCCATTCTAGTGATAAAATAGTCTTTGTAGTGGGTAATCCTCAATTTACTACTTGGTTATAACAAAATGGCTACTTTATCGGAATTTCTTTCTGATGCTTTTCTTGTTTTGTGAAGCACTTTGGATTGCTGGGTGAATATTTCTTGGTATACAACAAACATCTCTCCTTTCATATCTTTACTTGCTCTGTCTGCTTTGTTTTCCTGTTTCTATTGTATCCAATTATTTTGACTTTGCATTATGACTGTTTTATTGTTTATCATTTTGACTGTGCAGCGCTTTGTAAACATTGTTTTTAAAAGTGCTATACAATAAAAGATTATTATTATTATTATATTCTATTTCAAAAGTAAGGATTCAACCAATGTGGGTCCAGCAGTTGACTTAGCTCAAAGTTTTTATTATTTCATTAACCTACAATAACATTAATTGTGAATAAGGAATATAAAACCAACCGTATAGGCCACACAATCTCTAGAGTTGTCACAACAGACACACAAACAAACTAGTGCTTAACATAACCCCTCCAACAGCGTCACTGCTGAACAGGAACTGTCAGTGCAGCATATGACTGTCACGTGACTTCAGGCGGTCAGCTGATCCACTGCAGACAAACAGAGAAGGTAATGTCGACTTTTGCAACGTCTCCTCTTTACACTATTTGAAGACGCCTCTTTTATGATTCTCTGGATAGTGTCTAGATATTACAGCTATTCCGGTCGTATGTTGAATATCTTATAGATATTTAATAAACTGGGAGCTAGCTTAGCCGCTCCGAAGCCATTCATATAGCATTAGCTAGCTAGCTAACTTAAATGTAAGTAGCGTTTTCTGTAGCGGCTGTTTGCCACAAAGCTTATATCTAGCAAGCGATGAATTTCTTAAATTAAAGCTTAAGCTTATGATTGTACTCGCTATATCATTTGATGACACACAATTACATGTCTTGAATCCAATGTCGTGACACTCGGCTAACATAGTTAGCATGTCTACACAGGCTAGCAGTTTAACTTGTTCACTGTAGCAGCTGTAAGTGTTGAATTCTACCTAACTAAAAGAATTGGAGTGATTTGAAAAGAACATTGAATGATGGGCTAATGATGCTGTTGAATTACCATTACATACTAGTTCAAATGCCAAATTCCCGCTGGCATTTCTAACCTCTTGATGTCATGTCTTGGGTAGCTTTTAATACTGGTTAGACAACTAATTATGTGTGGCAAGAGGAAGCAACCATTGCTAACACTCCATTAATGTTTTGTCAGTGCAGTGACACAAAGATCTTTCATGATGGATATCCGCGGGGCTGTGGATGCTGCGGTCCCTACTAACATCATCGCAGCAAAAGCTGCGGAGGTTCGGGCTAATCTTGTAAACTGGCAGTCGTACCTGCAGTAAGTAATATTACATGTATCATTGTTCTACCTTTTTGAGAGCCATTTGATTCTATAACCTATTGCGTTAAACCACACCACACAATATGAGTTTTGTTTTCAAATCTCTAGGAGCCAGATGATTTCAGCTGAAGACTGTGAGTTTATCAAGAAATTTGAGGTGGCCAACTCTGAAGAGAAACAGATTATACTGACTAAAGAGGGACATCAGGTAATACATACTTATAACGTGTACTCTCTTAATTTTACATATTGTTCACTTTCTCTTACTATGTGTTTTTACTGTTCAGTGTGCCAAGACGTTCTTGAATTTGATGGCTCACATCTCTAAGGAGCAGACTGTTCAGTACATCCTAACTCTGATAGACGACACTTTGCAGGTAATGTCAGAAATGATGGTGGAAGACATTTTATAACAACACGACAATCTCATGCAATTGAAATAATCTGGTATCTGTTATCTAAATATAAAACAATTAAGATAGACTTTGTAAATTATACGATTACAAGTTTGATCTTTCAAAACGTCTTTTGTGATATTAGGAGAACCATCAGCGGGTGAGCATTTTCTTTGATTATGCCAAAAAGACAAAGAACACAGCCTGGTCATACTTCCTGCCCATGCTGAATCGCCAAGACCTTTTCACTGTCCACATGGTGAGTAAACCTTATAAGCCAAATATACCAAATACAAGTTCTTGTGAGGGAATTAATGACTGTTCAAGAAGCCAAAGCAGGTACAGTGAGGTTCAACTTGGTGGACTCTTCGTCACGTGTCCTAAACAACTTCATTCATATAGCACATTTTACAAACAATTACCAATATACCGTACAGACACAGACTAACTATAATGTACAGTGATGTGTAAGTTTGTATTCTTTACGGCCTTTTCATAATCTTTTACATTTATTTTCTAGTTGTATTGAAATATATAATGGAAAATAATTATATAAAATATGTATTTGTAATTTGTTTGCTAATGTATTCCTATACGTTATTTATTTTACACAAGCACAAATTACAGGATTCTCAAAGGTCTTAAACTCACAAAAGATGCAAACATTTTATTTGAACTGTTATTGTTGTTTTCAGACTGGATTAATATGAAGTAATATGGACACTAATTTGAGAAGAGAATGTTTGTCTATATACCAATACCGACAGTTTATCTTTACATAGGACTGTAGACTGTAGTCCAGGGGTCCCCAATTAAATTGGCACGAGGTCCACTTACTTGATCAGTTCAATAGATTAGGTTCCGGACATCATACAAATATTTTATTTCATAGAAATGATTTGAAAACCTTAAACAACAACGTCTACAGTAGTAAGAACAATTTGAAAAATAAATACATCTAAATATAGGTGTATATAATTCACACATAACATTAATCTCCTTCGTTTATTTCTACACAACACACCACAAACCTCTCCCAAACTCTCAGAGCAGAGGCTGCAACACATGATAATTGTGGAGGATCAGGGGATCTTTATTGTTGAAGTCCTTCTTTCTATCAATAACGTTTTTGCCATCGCCTCCTCACACTCTGACCTCCTTCTCCTCCACACACTCTTTGACCTCCTCCTCCTCCACACACTATGTCCTCCTCCTCCTCCACACTCTTTGACCTCCTCCTCCTCCACACACTGACCTCCTCCTCCTCCACACACTGACCTCCTCCTCCTCCACACTCTTTGACCTCCTCCTCCTCCACACACTGACCTCCTCCTCCTCCACACACTGACCTCCTCCTCCTCCACACACTCTGACCTCCTCCTCCTCCACACACTCTGTCCTCCTCCTCCACACACTGACCTCCTCCACACACTCTGTCCTCCTCCTCCTCTACACACTCTGACCTCCTCCTCCTCCACACACTCTGACCTCCTCCTCCTCCACACACTCTGTCCTCCTCCTCCTCCACACACTGACCTCCTCCTCCTCCACACTCTCTGACCTCCTCCTCCTCCACACACTCTGACCTCCTCCTCCTCCACACACTCTTTGACCTCCTCCTCCTCCACACACTATGTCCTCCTCCTCCTCCACACTCTTTGACCTCCTCCTCCTCCACACACTGACCTCCTCCTCCTCCACACACTGACCTCCTCCTCCTCCACACACTGACCTCCTCCTCCTCCACACACTCTGACCTCCTCCTCCTCCACACACTGACCTCCTCCTCCTCCACACACTGACCTCCTCCTCTACACACACTCTGACCTCCTCCTCCTCCACACACTCTGTCCTCCTCCTCCACACACTGACCTCCTCCTCCTCCACACACTCTGACCTCCTCCTCCTCCACACACTGACCTCCTCCTCCTCCACACACTCTGACCTCCTCCTCCTCCACACACTCTGACCTCCTCCTCCTCCACACACTCTGACCTCCTCCTCCTCCACACACTGACCTCCTCCTCCTCCACACACTCTGACCTCCTCCTCCTCCACACACTGACCTCCTCCTCCTCCACACACTGACCTCCTCCTCTACACACACTCTGACCTCCTCCTCCTCCACACTCTGTCTCCTCCACACACTGACCTCCTCCTCCTCCACACACTGACCTCCTCCTCCTCCACACACTCTGACCTCCTCCTCCTCCACACACTCTGACCTCCTCCTCCTCCACACACTCTGACCTCCTCCTCCTCCACACACTCTGACCTCCTCCTCCTCCACACACTCTGACCTCCTCCTCCTCCACACACTCTGTCCTCCTCCTCCACACTCTGACCTCCTCCTCCTCCACACACTCTGTCCTCCTCCTCCACACACTGACCTCCTCCTCCTCCACACACACTGACCTCCTCCTCCTCCACACACTCTGACCTCCTCCTCCTCTACACACTCTGACCTCCTCCTCCTCCACACATTCTGACCTCCTCCTCCTCCACACACTCTGACCACAACAAGGCTTTTTATGCCAAAAATCCACTGCACTCGCAGTGCGCACTAAATTAGGGTATACGCTGTTTGCTAATGCTTATGTTTTTGATGTGTACCTCTGTCTCGCTCCTCCTCCTTCTCCGCGCTCACACAGGAGACGCTGCTCCTCCTCACACCCCTCTGTCTCGCTCCTCCTCCTCCTCCGCTCATACGCAGCCAGTGTGAGCAGCTGAACGCGAGCGTCCATCGCTCTGTACACAGCACTCATTTCCGTCTCTTTCACGTCTCCGACTCTCACTCGGATTCAGACACTGCAAAAGTTATTTTGATTGCTCCTTATAGTTTTGTTCCGAAGGACCCGCTCACCACATATCCGCTTTCGCGCCTGCCTGTTTACAAATTGCTTTCGGTGAAAATTTGACACATAATTGTAATTATGTACTTTTGGACAAAAAAATCACGGAGGTCCAGAGAAAAGGGTCTCGGGGTCCGGACCTGGACCTCGGCCCGCCATTTGGGGACCCCTGCTGTAGTCTGTCGTTGGTAAAATATTTTTTAAATTAGGGTTATAACCACAGCTGCCTTTCTCTTCTTGCTATAGGCTGCCAGGATTATTGCAAAGCTGGCTGCATGGGGCCGGGACCTGATGGAGGGAAGTGATCTGAACTACTACTTCAACTGGATCAAAAGCCAGCTGAGTTCCCAGGTATGTATGTGGAAATGTCTTTTCAAGGTCATGTCTGATTCTATCGAATGCATTTCTTCAATTCTCCCACTGTTTAACCTGTTCCTTGGAGACGGCTATAAGCTTTCCCAGTACGCCAGTATTTTACAAAGACATAATTTTATAACATTTTCCATGTTTCAGTGTTTATAATTGTATTTTCCTCCAGACTTCCAGTCTTGGCACAATTGTTTTGGCTTCAGTGCGACCACAAAACTACAACGTTACCAATGATTAATTCTTGGAATTTTGATTTTAACTATATCTGATTTTTGGTTCCCAGGAAGACAATCAATTGGTGGTGGTCCAGTTAATGGAAATTGATGAATTGTGAACCTCTTTGCATATTTTTCTTTTATCTCCCATTAGAACCTACATGGTACAGGTCCAGATACATGCACGGGAGCAGTGACAATCTCTCCCACTGAAGTGAGTATGATGGGAGAGCAGCTTTGACACTTCAGGCACTTCCAAATAAAACTTAACAACGTGGGGTGTAGAAGCTTCTATCTTCTTCTTTTCTCTTCTTCTTCTTACATGATGTTTCTTTTCCAGAGGTGGAAAGTGTACATTATTAGATGCTGGACTCCAAGTAACTTGTATTAGGATCAGTGTTTGCCGTTATAAATCAAATGTATTTTGTGATTGTACTTCTATTACCCTCAGTTTTAGTTGTAAATTTGCCATAGTAACAATTGAAATTGTTATGTTTATATGTAGGAAAATAAATTATTATAAAATGATAGAACACTGTAACAAACAACACTGTAATAACATGGATAATACTGGAGCTGTCTGGAAACGTCCTAATGCGAAACAGGCAAAGCCTTTATTCATATAGTTGTAATAGTTCTAGTATTACATTGGTATTCCACCTCTGCCTTTTATATATTTCACATGCCAGAGAGAAATACAGTATATAATATTCAATAGGATAAACTTTGTCTTTCGAAAGCATGGTGTTTGCTGCCACTGTTGTATCTATGAGGAATGATTGGTGATGCATGCTTCAAGCCACATCTCCCCAATGCTCAAAATGCATGAAAAAAGCAGCTTTGTCCTGTACATGACCAGAAATTTAACTGGCATTTGCACAGCAGCAGCATCCTACCATTTTAGTGTATTTCCTATGAAAGTGTGCACAGCTTCTTGTCTTCTTAACTTGACTGCTGATCTTAATAATTACTCATTTGTGTGTGTTTCCAACCAGGTAACTTCACTACTTCACTCGTTCACCTGTCTAATTGCTGGACGCATTTGCTTCTAAACTCTTTAACTTTTTAATCCACTTCCTCTCTACTGTATTCACTTGTTTTGTCTTCTCAGATTCTTCCAGTCTGATCTAACTTCTCCCTATGTGATGGGAAATGTGCCCCCCTATGGCTATCGCTGTGCATTGTACCATATTAGCATGTGTCTGTGGACTGCATGTGCAACACAGGCCTTTATAACATTATTTTTTACTGTTTTCTTCTCGAGGTCCTACATAGGGTCATATACACTTGTTTGAAAAAGATCATTTGTGTGTTTTTAACAGAGCTCCCAGTACGTCCAGTGTGTCGCTGGATGTCTCCAGCTGATGCTAAGAGTGAATGAGTATAGGTTTGCCTGGGTGGAAGCTGATGGTGTAAACTGGTGCGTAACATGATCAAATTCCTCTTTTTTTCCCATTTCATTCATTCATTTGTTTAATAAGCGCACAAACAAACAACCATGCCCACACAGGTCCAAGGGCAACTACAACGAACTAGTACAGTGCCTTGATCAGTCTTCTCCTTGTTTGAGATGAAAGTTTGGAGGGACGGCCGGGTCTTGGTAGATTTGCAGTGGTTTGATACTCCTTCCATTTCAATATAATTGCTTGCACAGTGCTCCGAGATGTTTAAAGCTTGGGAAATCTTTTTGTATCCAAATCCGGCTTTAAACTTCTCCACAACAGTATCTCGGCCCTGCCTGGTGTGTTCCTTTGTCTTCATGGTTCTCTCTGCGCTTTAAACAGAACCCTGAGACTATCAAAGAGCAGGTGCATTTATACGGAGACTTGATTACACACAGGTGCATTCTATTTATCATCATCAGTCATTTAGGACAACATTGGATCATTCAAAGATCCTCACTGAACTTCTGGAGTGAGTTTGCTGCACTGAAAGTAAAGGGGCCGAATAATATTGCACGCCCTACTTTTCAGTTTTTTTTTTGTTTTTTTAAGTTTAAATTATCCAATAAATTTTGTTCCACTTCACGATTGTGTCCCACTTGTTGTTGATTCATGACAAAAATTTTAAATTTTATATCTTTGTTTGAAGACTGAAATGTGGCAAAATGTTGAAAGGTTCAAGGGGGCCGAATACTTTCGCAAGGCACTGTACATATACAAATACTGAATGTATTTATTATGGCAATGTATATAACATGTATTCAAATATCTTGTTTCAGTATAGCCATTGTCACTGAAATATAATGCTGTTTAGGGCTGTCTGTCTTTTAGTCAACAATTCAGTCTATTGTGTCTTGCATCAGTTGACTAATTATTTTATCTAAATTACAAGGATTTCTATGAGGAAAAAAGTCTATACATGGAACAAAGAATCTGAAGATTCTAATACTTTGTTTTGTGAGTACAGTTTAGGGCAGATATGTAAGAATTAGTTTGAACAGCTTTTGCCTTGCACCATTTTTTTATCCACTGATCTATTTGACGATGTCTTCAGCTTAAATTGTATTTCATTTTGAAAATAATTAATATTTTTTACCATATCACCTTGTAGCATCATCTATGTTTAAAACAGTGGAACTGCCTCCAGTAAAACTTTGTGTAGGAGAAGAGTTAGACCAATGGTGAGGGGCTTCGTCTGTCTATCAAGGGGTTGAATTAATTCAGTCCAATCAGGAGCCTTTCAAAGACTATAGTGTTGCATAATGATAGTCAGCCCCTTTAGTGAGTACCATCAATTGTATTGTAAAGTTGTCTAATGATTGTTGAATGGTTTATGTTGTAATAATTATTAAGTGGAGGGCTCAAGAGAGTGATCTAATCTCAGTGTGATAGCAGCTGTGATTCCCTCAGAGGTTTCATGATATCCGAGGAACACATCAGGAATGTGTAGGTAATACAACATCAATGTATGATTTGATAAAAGTGTTCCTGCATGTGAACGTTTCACACAGCACTTTTCAATCTGGAAATGGAAAGAGCATCAATCCATCAATGAATCTTAGTTTATAAAGTAATTTTCCTGCTATAATGTAACTCAAAATGCTTTAGAATTCATTCAAACATTATATTTCAAGGCACTGTGTGTACACACATTGTATACTTAAGTGTATTGATCCATGGAAATGTTGACTATTTTGTACGATTGTGTGGGATGTGTGTAAATCATAGAATGGGTTACATGCCTTTTGTATATTTCATAATAATTATAGCTTCAACAAGCTCGCAATTAGGGACACACATTCTAACACAAAAGGCAACACACATGGACTAAAGACACATAAGGCATGTCGTGGGAAGGCTTTTACCTTTTTAAAAATATGTTTTAAAGTCCCCCCTCCTTTAATCCTTGTATATAAAAGGGCAAAGAGGCTTTGAGAATGTAATTGTTTAAAACCCAATTAAATACTTTAAACTGCAAATGTCACCTCAGCCTGATGGAGAAAAGACCTATACAAATATATGAAGAGTATTATTGTGAAATCAAGTGCTTACATTGATGAGTTGTTTATGTCTATATCATGTCATCAATAATACAAATATTCATTTGACATTGTGACATCAGTAAATTCTTTTAAATGTGAAAGTGAATTCCTGACCCAAAGATTTGAGTAAGGTCTGTTTGTCTTCAAGTTTGGTCTGATGTCTTTGAGCTCACAGCTGATTGGTCCATGATGGTGTTTCTAGCTCTAAACCAGACCTAACTCTAAACCCACAAAACCAGTAAACCTTACCCCAAACTAAAACCAAACCTAATTCAACAATAGGCCTCTGTTGTTTGTGTTGTCATTAGTAACTCTTTCGTGTCTATGTCTTTCAGTATCACGGCTGTCCTCAGCAACAAATGTGGGTTCCAGCTCCAGTATCAGATGGTTTTCTGCGTGTGGCTGTTGGCCTTCAGTCCACAGCTCTGTGAACAGTTGAGACGCTACAACGTGGTTCCGGCTCTTTCCGACATCCTGCAGGAGTCTGTCAAAGAGAAGGTCACACGCATCATCCTGGCTGCATTCAGGGTACGTCCAACAGCCAAACTTCTTTTTGGTGTGATGGGCCGTTTTCACATTGTCGTTTGCAAATCTGCATCTTTAGGAAATCATTTTTGTTTTCTGGAGGTGGAAAATCATGATGGCATGGAAAGAGAAACAAGAATCCATGCTAGGAACATTATAATATATACATTTACATACATTTATTGTCAAAGGAATAATAAACAGGAAGTGCGAGATGACTCATAGTTATGACATATTCTAATACTTCAATTCTCATAAAAATTCTCAAACCCAATAGAAAACATTTTCACTGTCATTGAGAGTTGAGAATTGTTTGCACTTTTTCACATGGTATAATTATTCTTTTGATTTTTTTTAATCCATAAGTTTGCATAGTCTTGCAAATACAATTAGTATTGGGAATGACACATTCACAGACGCCGATGTCATTGTGTTTGTATCGGTTCACTTTTATTTCCTATTATTACAAAACACATGATTATCTTATGAATATACTTTTTGACTACGTGCTGCACCAGACTTTCAATTTTTCCCAAGATTATTTTAATTACTTTGGAGGTGTAGTAATTATGTTCTCGTCTAAAATACATGATACGTCACTGATGCAATTCCAGAGATGATTTCTAAATAAAGGCTTCTGTCCAGCGACTGAAGCCAATCGTGTCATGGATGATTGCATGACTAAAACATGAGGCTCATTTCCCCACGCAGAAAACTTTGAGCGGAGCATTTTTTGGGTCAGAAAGTCAGAAAGTCTTCAGCGGTTTAATTTCCCTGTGGAGATCTTGCACATTGTGTTGTCCAAATCGACTAATTATAGAGAACTCTGTAGACATGTTTTTTAAATCTACTTTTTTGAGTTTCAGACCATTTATAAACAGTCTTTGTTCACCTTATTGTTTACATAGAAGCTCACCTTGTGGCTTACCATTATTTTGGACACACTTCATACAGCTACTTTTCCCTTTTGTCATGGTGTTAGTTGGAAAGGGAATTTGTAAACATTTTATTGCATTATTTCAGCATTTAAAAGTTTCAAATGGAGTGGACAGACAAAACTAAATACGTTTGTCCAGATGTACAAGCCTTAAACAGCTGAATCCTGGTCGAGCCTCCTCAGCTAACTCTCTTGCTTTTTGAAGGAATACATTAAATTATTTTTCTTCGTTTAAGATATTGTCAAATCCAATAAGAAAGGAACGTCTGATAAATGAGTCTTTGTTTGAGGATCATGTTACTGGGAAAAGCATTTACTAGGAGCATAATGGAAGAAATCCACTCCACTACTTTCAGACAATAAGTAAATCAAAAATGTATGAATGTGTATGAACAAGCATAATGATTTTAAAATCAACCCGTGTCTGAATCGAGAGCCTATGAATATCCGCAATATGGACGATGAATGTGGCTCAATGTTTTCATTATGTAAATAGATTCTCTGCACCTGGGAGTACTACTCTTAAATTATTCATACCATATGGAAGTCCTTGAACGCATCTTCAAAAGCAGATTTTTCGAGATTATCTCTCTATGGATGTTTTTTTGAATACGTTTTGTTCAGATAGACAACTTTGACAACAAAAACAAGAGTTTTCAAGCTCGCAATCTCTGACCACCGACAGTTTTGAAATATAACTTCCACATGCGCCTCCTGCACTGGCGACCCCACTCCCATCTCTGTGTGGAGTGAGAGACAAATGCCCATAATTAACAATTGTAAACCGCTTTGAGACTCAGATCTGCAGTGAAAAGGCGGTATATAAATAAAAACTTACTTACTTACTTACTTACATCATGTTTACACACTGGAGAAAAAAACCTGTTTTACTCACTTTAATATTATTACAAATACATATTCATAAGCATGCAGTGATTTTAAACCCAGGCTGATAGTTTTGCATGTATTCCAATGTTGTTTATCTGCAAATGGCAAATAAACTGAATCTGAATCTTACACTCAAGTTGTTTATTGAAAAAATATTATGCATTCACTTTGGACGGTAACAATTATACTATTTTCTCTTTCATTTCATGCTTTTGGAAATGTCAATGTTCTACAAACACGCAGACTGTGTCGTCTGCGTGTTAAAGTCTGATCCCAACAGACTTTTAGAAGCTAAACAGGGCAGGGCCTGGTTAGTACTGTGAAGGGAGACCTCTGGGAACACCAGGTGCTACAATGGGGGTGGCCTCTTGTCGTTCTATCCTTAGGCCGTCCTTAAACACGTCACACACATTGCCTAGTATGAGTGGTGTGAGCATGAATGATTGGTAGTGGTCAGAGGGGCAAATGGCACATACCGGTTGTCTCGCTTTTTTCAGTGTTCAGCTGCCCTGGATAATACTGGGCAGTTGTGGCTTCAGCACTGTTTACAGAGTATTATAATAATGCTGTTGAAGGGTTATAAAAAACAGTGTAAAACATGCATTATCATGTAATAATAAATACTCAAAACAGTTCATTTTCCATAAAATGTGTTCCTTTAAAAGTTAGATATTCAAGCCTAATGATACCTGTACTTACTGTCTGTCAGAACCTTCTGGAGAAGTCCGCTGAGCGAGAGACGCGTCAGGAGTACGCCCTGGCCATGATCCAGTGTAAAGTGCTGAAGCAGCTGGAGAACCTGGAGCAGCAGAAGTACGACGACGAGGATATCACTGAAGACATCAAGTTTCTGCTGGAGAGGCTTGGAGAGAGTGTGCAGGACCTCAGGTAATGCTGGTTTACAAAGCAAAATCGAATAGTAAAACAGTAACAGTTCTTCATGTATTCACCGCCAACATTTTTTCTGTACTTTTTTGATTGTTTAGGTTTAAGGATGGCAATACTTTTCTTTTCAAAATGTGTTTGTTTCTTCCATCAAAGCTAAAGATAATCTGGCATATATTAAAGTATTATGTAGGTAATTTCTAAATTAATTTCATATTAGAATAGGCCAGCGCAATCGTACATACCTGTTGTCACATCACAGCCCACACCTTACAGGCTGCCAGTTCCTGTAAATAATGATACGTTGGTCTTGGAAATTAATCTAAATTGAATTTCATATAATTTACCCTGTCTGTGATCATCCTTTTATTAAGAAAAAGTTGACTTATGAAGGCGGCTGTTTTTATTTCTCCACAGACTTGTAAAACCATGTCCTTTGACCAACGTGAACCATTTCTTTTTCTTTCAGCTCCTTTGACGAGTACAGCTCTGAACTCAAGTCCGGCCGCCTGGAGTGGAGCCCTGTGCACAAGTCTGAGAAATTCTGGCGTGAAAATGCTGTCCGCCTGAACGAGAAAAACTACGAGCTCCTCAAGTAAGAAAAAAGTTGTTTTGTAAAATCTCAAATCTTTGTATTTCACTTCTATAAATGAGGCCTGGACCAGTGTTGTTGAAAACATCCCACAAAAGAAAACTGGGAAACTGAAGAGATGTTTATTTATTATGGACAACAAAACAGACAAAAACACATTTTACATGAACACAAAAAGTAATGGAAAAGGTGTTCACCAATTACAAAAGGTTAACCAGTTTCAAATAACTAGTTTAGACTGTCTAAAATACATTATTTATAAAGTGTTTGTTAGTGTTTTTGTCATTCTTTTGAAAACCCTCATTTGCAATTTATATAGGCAGTGTAAAACTTCAATCATAGCTCCTGCAGTTACATGAGTAAAGTAAAACTTTGGAATATTATTTTCACTATATATAATTATCTACACAATTTTGAGGTTTTTGAAGACCGTGGACGGCACCAGCAACAGCCGAATCTGCAGATAACTGTGGCATTGAGTGATGGTCTTAACGGAATAGCTGGTAAAAAAGGCCATCTGGAAGGGGTAGCATGGCAAAAAGAGATTGAGGAAAGAACAGTTGAGGGCGCTCTGGTGGAGCCACAGGCAGAGTTACACGAGGAGTCACAGTGTCATTTCGGAACAGTCTTTCTGAAGATGTGAGACGGACCTTGAAAGGTTAAAGGGATCAATGCTTCATCAACAATACTCCTCGTTCTACAACCTGAATTCTAGATCTATAGCCTGTCTGCGGATCCCTGTCTCAATGTGGGCCTCTCTGAGCTTTCTCACATTTTTCCCACTGGGTTTTGTTTAAGTCGTCCTGATACAGGGGAGTCTAAAGACAGTTATCCACATTTATGAACATTTAAGGACATTGATCATCCCGCTCCCTATGGACCCAAGTCTCCGAAGTGTTTGATGTTATTGAATTTCCTATGTTCGAACTGTTTGATTCTCTATGTTTTTGGCAAATTTACAACTCAGTAAAGTCCTCTGAGGCCTCTGAGTTGTGTTAATCTAATTCAATAGGATCAGAATCGGAGGGACCAAACTAACACTAACCCAAGCGCAAAGAGGAAACATTTAAACTAACTGCCCTTGACAACAGCTGTTCAATGGCTCACTAACCACAAAAATAATTTTCTCTTGACAAAAGCACACTTTCCATGCTTTCTTCTTCAGGATCCTGACCCGGCTGCTGGAGGTGTCTGACGACCCACAGGTCATCGCGGTGGCGGCACACGACGTCGGGGAGTATGTGCGGCACTATCCACGCGGGAAACGGTGAGGAACTCTGCACTTTGTGTGCCTTTTGTCTTTTCTGTGTCTTTTGTGTCCTTTGTTTGGCTGTCAGACAGTATTCAAGAGACACACTATAACAAGCAACTGTTACAAGGAGATAAAAGAAAGCTGTGAGCCTTGTGCCTCAGGATAACGTTTTGAAGTTTTTATTGTTGGAATAGTTTGGAGATGTCAAAATTTATTTTCCCCAGCCCTTGTAGACGCCAAAGAAAAATGGCTGTACTTTTTAGTGTTATACATTGGAGGCCAAGGCTGGAAAGGTACTTGTGACTGAAGATCCTGAGATTAAAAAACAAAACTCTCAATAGCCAATAGAACACACATGTATATTTGTGACCAGGGCACCATTCTGTATCTTTACGTTACAGATATTCTTCTTGGTATTTCCAACCTAAAAAGTAAAGTTCAATCCACTGCCTTGTGTACAAGGGACTATTACCCCCACGTGTGGTTTTAAGGGATTGAATGCACGTTGTTAAACCTTAAGAATATTCTGTATGTTGATTGATAAAAATATATTGTATATATTTTTATCAATCCTAATTATAGATATACAGATACGTAGGTATAGAAGACAGCAGCTATATACCAGAAAGAAAGTTTAACAATGAGAGCGTGTGTGGAGGCTTCACTTGGACAGAACATTCGCTGGCCCCTTAACTTTAAGCAACATGGAATAAGAAAAGACGATAATTCTGTCTTGTCTCTTCCTGTTTGTTATTTTAAATACATCCTATGTTTGACAGAACACTGCCCTCTTGTTTGGACAAATCAATGACATTATACAACCAGTTCACTGTGTACAACTCACTGCGAGCTTCAGGGCTTTTTACTACATATTTCACAAAAAAGTAATAATAAGACGGATGTGCAAGTAACAGGGGGTCTTCACAGGTTTTTTTCATTGTATTCATATTTATATACATATTATATATAATTAATAAATACATAATTTACTTTTTGTATTTATTTTTGTAGATACAACACATTGGTAGCACAGACATGTGGACCTCAAACTTCTACCCATGACACCTTTACATCTGTCCTTTTCCAACAACACAGCATTGTTTAAAGCTGGCATCAAGCTACAAACTGTTTTTTATTTAGCACAAATCTGCCTCATTCCCAGAGAAGGCTTGTTGAAAAAACAATTGAGGCATGCGCATGCATCCGAGGCGGCAAATCAAAGCCGTTCTGTAAAGACTCTGACACATTTTTCATCCGCCGGATGAGAACAAAAAAATGTGCGGTAGTTTTCATAACGGAGGGTTTTTCCCGGTCAAACCTGACGGGAGGCAAAGAGCTGCGGCTCGCCACCCCCGGCTTTTCCCATTTACTCTCTTTATCATTTATTCTATCCACTTGTGTGTACCTGTTTTAATACATCTTATGGAACCAGAACCAACTGAAATGTGAGTAAACAAAGTGTCTCACTGTTGTGGACTTTTCTGGTTTCCAGAGTGATTGAGCAGCTGGGAGGCAAACAGCTGGTGATGAACCATATGCACCATGAGGATCAGCTCGTTCGATACAATGCTCTGTTGGCCGTGCAGAAGCTTATGGTCCACAACTGGTAAGAAAGACTCTGATGCTTCAATGAAATGAATCTACGGCAATTGCCATTCAATGTGGACTTTATATTTAACAATGTTTCAACTTCGAAGCACATTTTGAATAATTGATAATGGGATGTGGCGACTTTGATAACATTTACAACATGTGCTTCATCGGAGCCACAACTAATGACTTTCTGAAAAGTAAATATTTTTAATAACATACATAACATAACATTTATGTAAGCCCCTACTTTTTCCACTCAATTTGTGAAAGATTTGAAATATTTTTGGGTTTGTGCACGGAAAAGTGTCAATCCTGGTATCTGGACTTTAATTTTAGTTTTTGAGTTATGTCCTTTTACTGTTATAGATTAGAAAAAAAGATTTCAAACACAGACACATCAAAGAGATAGTGTGGATAAAATCAAAAGAAAAGACTTAAAATTTTACGCCAGTTACATAGAAAGGAAATGGCCTTTTTCTGTGTGAAAAAATGGTGTGAAAAAGCGGCAGATGAACTCCCACAAGATGAACATGGCAAACACAACATCAGTAAAAAGGAATCATTTTTTAAAAACAATCACTACAAATTTATATTACCCTTGAAAAATGTGTAACGGACATGACGATTTCTGTCAATTATTTTCTACAAATTAAAATTGATGGTCTGGTTTCACTCTCAAGTGGTTTACTATACTAAAGTAATCACTTTGTTTCTACTCTGTGAAAAGAAAAAAAAGAATCTATTAATGAAATGTTGACATCTGAAAATATATAACAAACTTCCGCAGCTCATTCCATTAAAGGCGTTACACAGATAAACAGAGCCACTATAGAACATTTGACTAATGATAATCAAACGGTTATCTTCTAACGACAGCTAATAGACAGAAGAGGTAATTGGATAAATGAAAATTAATTATTAAAATCCGTTTGTTCCCTTTAGTGTGAACAAGCCTGTTTACCATTTAACCTCTTTACTAACACCGGCGCGCCGGCGGCTGTTTTTATGTTTTTAAATGTTCTGCTGGCAATAGCAGATGTATTTTGAACACCAAACCCCAAAAGCTGTATATCATTTTAAAGCTTATTTTCTTATCTACATTTATATACAAGTGCATTCAAGAGATATAACACATAATGTGGGCACAAAATAAATCAATTCCGAAATAGTTTTTTACCTTTGGGCTTGTGCTGTACAAATAAATCAGCTCTCCTCCCAGCTTGCAATACATCATTCTCTCTGGAACAGTCCAAAGGAAAATTATATCCACTTGTATTTCCCAAAGTAAAATCCATTCTGCAGAAATAATCCAAAAATGTGCATTTATCTTTAGCGAAAAAAAAGAGCACAGATGTTACTCTTTCACTTTTAACGGACTTTTAGCTTTGTTTTTCAACCGAACATCTGGTATCCACGTGTTCCTTAGCTCCTTATCTTTCAAATGAGACTACTCCCGAAAAGCTAGACCAATTTTTGGGTCTGCAAGAGGTCCCGTAAGTACAGCTTGCGCTGCTGTTTGCGCATTGAACACTGATCTTTTGAGGGGTCCCAACTTGTTTGCTTTTACTTCCGGGATTTACGATTGACATGTCCTTGTAGCCAATGAGGAACGCTTTCGAACAAGGGGTGGGACAATGGTGTCCTGTCTTATGTTGGGCCTGGACAATTGTGCGTAATGGAAGCCAAAAGACGCTCTCGAAGCTGCAATGAATTTACACTCATAAAAAAATAACTTTGACATTTAAAAAAGAAAAACACACATAGATTAGTAACTTATAAGTACCAATAATAAAAAATATCGTTTTTATGATGATTAAATGTAAGTAAAGATATTTGTGCACTACTTGATGAAAAGGAGAAACTGCATAAAAACTATAAGACTTAGAAGTCTGAAACTTTAGACAGTTGTTGTCAACAACACAATGAACAGAGGGTTTGAATATTGTGAACTTACAATGAAGTATGCCTTTTTTAGGGCCTTTAGAAATTGAAAATGTTAGGCGAGGCTAAAAAAATTGGGTTTTTTTCCCTAACTTCAAAGGATGCAGAGGGAAATAGGAATGACAAACATTATTTTAGTGTTTTTTTACATAAACTAGAAGGCTCTAGCTTTAAAATGATGCATCACACAAGCATGTGAGATGTTTAAATAAGCAAAGACATTTGGGTATGCCCAACCATTGTGCACGAGCCAAAATGAGGCGGATGTTAAGAGGTTAAAAGTAAAAGTTTGAGCATTCCTATTTTTCTGCAGTAATGACACCATTACTCTGACTGCCCCCGTTTCTCAAACTCTGATTCTCTGATCCTTTATGAGTCACCAAACTCTTTGAGAATCTTTCTTGTTGGTCCTCGGGCCACCAGAGGCTGTGAATAGACATGATTTGAGCAAAAGCCAACCCCTCAAACAAACCAAAACAAATAGATACTGTTTGTCTTTCATAAGTTTTGACAATTTTCTGAAATGAGCAATTGGTAGCATTGAGGCATTGTGATGTTAGAACTATTCCTAATCAGTGTAAAGTACTTGTTTCAAACAGTTTTCAATTCAGTTCAATTTATTCTTGCATAGCCCTAAATCAACACAGTAGTTATCTCGGAGGACTTCACACAACTGTTGAATTCGCCAACACAGATCAGAGAATAAAAACAGTCCGCACCTTATGGATCAATACTAATGTCCATAAGTCTTGATAACAGTTGTTGAATGTTGAGTGTCCTGGATCACCACCACTGTCCTTATGTTAGACCCTTCTACATTGGCACGAAAAACTCTAAAACCCAGTGAGAAAAGGTGAGAAACCTCACCATACATTCTTACAATGAATCCTAATAGTTAGTTAGATACTTTATTGATCCCCATAGAAGAAATTCAGGTGTCCAGTAGCAGCAAAAACACATCCATCCACACAAACAAAACTAATAAATTGATCGTTCTAAAAAGCTAACAATAGTAATGATAAGCAACAGTCACAGCAGCAGAGGTGGAGTAGCCGCTTGGTTCGGACTATTTTCTCTGCTCTAGTCCAAAGTAAAATGCTGAATGCTGACTTTCAAAAAGTTCTTGGATTATTGCCTGATGCGCTTGGTTCGGACCATGAATCCGCTCCGCTCCGGTGCAAAACCATGAACACTGAACTGCAGCAACATCTCGGATAGAAAAAAATAAAATACAAATTAGGGCTGGGACGCGATTAAAAAAAATTACAAAACCTCTAATTAGATTAATTAATCGCAATTAATTTGCATTTTTATTGCATATAGAAATTACATATTTTCCTCATGGATTATTAGTAATAATGACTGAATACATAAGCATTGCCTCCGCACACTCTGACAACAACGTATGCTTTTTATAACCAAAATCCTCTGCACTCGCAGTGAGCACCAAAGCTTGGCATGCGCTGTTTGCTAAAGCTTTTATAATACGTTTTTGATGTGTGCAACACACCTGTGTCTCGCTCCTCCTCCTCTGCCTCCTTCGCCTCCGCTCACAGGAGTCGCTCGCTGCTCCTCCTCCTCACACAGTTTATAGCTCCATACAGCACTCTTTCCAGTCTCTAACTCACTCAGATTTAGACACCGCTAAAGTTGGTCTATGCTTTTAATAATGTACTTTTGAACAAAAAAAGTCACGGAGCTCAGTTGGTGCTCCAGTACAATTGGTTCATCTGAAACTCATCCTCCAGTGAGCAACGTTTCGCGGTGCAAAACCACATACGAGTAAAATGCGTCAATTTTTTCAACGTGCTAATTTTTGTGGTGTTAATTAATCTTAATTAACGTGTTAAAGTCCCGGCCCTAATAAAAATACAAATTGTAAAACACAAAACAACAACTGTTTCAGATCTACTTAGGACTTGCTGCCGTTTCCAGCGCATTCAAAAGTAAAATAAAGGAGTCCTTTTTTTTAATGTTCTTTAGTTGCTAGCAAAAGGTTTTGGTTCTGTGTTTGTGGGCAAGGCCATCCTGCTTTAACGGCTGATTAGTTGTTATACCATTTTTCAACTTGTTTTTATGTGTTCCCTTCTTGCCCTGGCGCTGCTTGCAAACTCGACTAATGCTCCTGAGTTGTTTGCCTTTATGTCTGCCTTGCCACGCATTTACTTAATTAGGCGCTCGGCTGTGTCCTCTCGTAACAACAACCCAAGGCAAAACAATTATTCAGCGAAGATTCATTCATGGAGATTGAAGAACATACTCAAACATGAACTGGCATTTTGCATAGAGTAGAAGTCTCCATTAGACTCAGTGCATATGAGAAAACAAGACCGTGTAAGTGACTGATAATACACTGATACTGTTATTAGTGACCTACAGTTTCGATAACATTTTTTGAAAGAAGAAATTTGATTAGAAATGGCTCAATTAATTGACTCACAGTTAGAGAATAGGTACATAACATAAGGCCCAGTTTAAAACACGGTTGCTCGTTAACATCTTTGACACTATGTTTGTAGGACCATAACCAGGAAGTCAAATTAAAAATCAAAAATATGGTCAACCCTAACCCTAACCAAAATAATGAGAAAAATCTAAAATCTCAGCTCAGAGGATCACTTAGGAGTACTTGGAAACTATGTGTTTTTCATGTAAAAAAAGCCTAACTTATTTTTACTTTTTTCCGACGTTCCATATAAATTTGTCTTATGTAATTATTATGTTCGTAATTGTAGTGTTTTTTGTTGTTGAGGGGAACAAAACAGGATACATTTGGACTCCTGTGAAATTTTATGTTCCCAAGATACAAAAGCCTATCTCTCAAAAAAATAGAGATTACACAATTAGATTATGATTTGATAACCAGAACATATTTTCACCCTTCCTGTTTTCTTTTTTTAAGGAAAAGCAAGGTCTCATTATGTCCCCACTCCCCACTCCACAAACAGAGCAGCAAATTGATACTTCGCTGTGACATTACACTGCGGGGGAAACGGGTTTGTTTATGCAGGACAGCTCCAGAGTTACCATGGTGACAATATGCACACGGTCAGAAACGCCCAGATATTTAAA